ATGGATCCTCGTGGCCCATAAGGATCGCCCCCCCCCCCGGGTTTCATCCACATCTCCCCCTCCCATCAGAATTAGAGTGGCATTAATGGAGGGGAGGAAAAGGATAAGACACAATTAACAACCCCCCCATTGTGGGAGGGGGAGCTGGGGGTCCCCACAAAGGGGACAATGGGGTTCTGTTGGTGGGGGAACACAGTGAGGTCCCTGCATCCCCAAATCTCTGCCACTTCCCCCAAATCTTCCACTTGTGCCCCCAAATCTCTCCCTGCTGAACCCCAAAACTCTGAGCCCCAAATCTCTCCCATTTTCCCCCAATACTTCTCCCTCTCCCCCTCCCAAATTTCTCCTATTTCCCCCAAATCTCTGCCTCCCCCCTGAACCCCCAAATCTGTTCTGATTTTTGATTCTTTCTGGGGCAAGAACTGACACAAAGACGAAGCGAAAGATGATCAATGTGTGCAGATATTTGGGGAGAAAATAGGGATTTTCCAGCAAAACCCACCCCGAGTTCCACAAAGGAGAGAAATCACAGTGGAATCCCCCCCCAGCCCCTTTTTCCCCCAAAATACACGTTGTGAAGGCACCCAGGTGGCCCTAAGCACACTTGGGGGGATCATTTAGGGCAAAAACACAGCAAAAAGAATACAAAAAACCCTAAAAACCCCAAAATCACCACTCAGATGAGCCCAAAATGGTCATTTCAGCCTTTTTTCTAACAGTTTTTTTTCCCTTTCCCCCCCATTTTTTCCACCAAAAGAATCAGAGGAAACGGCGCCAACGGCACACAGTTCTTCCATGGGGTAATAATAAGGCTGGGAGGTAATTAAGGCAATTAGTGTGGGTTAATTCCAACTGACCCCCCTGGATGGCACCCCATGGCATTCAGGAGCCAAATGTTGGGGGTTTGTTGAGGTTAACAGCAAAGAAATGAGCAAAGAAACGGAGTCAAATCTCCCATTTTTGGGGTTTCTTGATAGAACTTTGAGGCAGAAAGTGATGAAAAAGGTGAAAAACATCAAAAAAAACCCAATCCTGGTATTTTTGGTGTCTGGAAGGTGTAAACTTGTCCCCAAAATCCCAAATCCTGGGTCTGGATGGTGGAATTCTGCCTCCAAACCCCAAATCTGGGGCTCTTTTGGGGGTCTGGATGGTGGAAACCTGTCCCAAAATCCCAAATTCCTGGGTCTGGATGGTGGAAATCTGCCCCCAAACCCCAAATTTGGGGCTCTTTCTGGGTTCTGGATGGTGGAATCCTAAATCCTGACGACCTGAGCAGCCACACAGGGGTTCTTCTGCTCCCCACCCCGCTGCTGCTGCAGGCACAGCTGCCCGTAGGTCCCCGCTGCCCGGCCCTTGGTCAGCCGGCCGGGGTTGATGCAGACGCAGCCCAACACCTCCTGTGGGGTGACAGCACAGATTTAGGGCTTTGATTGGGGTCTGCAGGACCCCCTCCCCCCCCACCAGCATGGATTTGGGGGCGAAGGGAGGGTTGCGTTTGGGCCGCGCTGGTTACTGCCCTAATTAACTCATTAAAGCCCCGTTAATAAACGCGATCGGCGCCCTGGAATTGTGGGGGTGGGTTTTTCAAAGGGGGTGATTTCCTGCTCATTAAGACCTTAACGAAGTAACGCAGCTCTGAGGGGGTGACGAGGACGTGGGGGGTGACGGGCAGCGAGGCGAAGCTGGAGAAGCTCTCGTAGTCCACATTCATCTCCTCTGCTGGGGGGTAGAGGGGGTAGTAGCTGGAAGGGAAAGGGGGCATCCAGGGGGATTTGGGGTAAAAAAAAGAGGGATTGGGGGAGCTCCGGCCCCAACCTCCTCCTTCTATGGGGTCACCAGACCCCAAAAATGACAAATCCTGACCCAAAACAGCACCAGCACCTCTGAGTTCTGCACCTGAAGGGTCACAAAACCCATTAAAAAGAGAAATTCTGAGTATTTTCAGCTTCAAATCCCTCTGGATTCTGCATCTAAAGGGTCAAACCCCCAAAATGATCATTTTTAATCCCCCCAGCTCGAAAATCCCTTTTAATCCTGCATCTAAAGGGGTCACTAAACCCCAAAAAAGACAAATCCTGACCCAAAACAGAAGTAAAGCCTCTAGTTCTGCACCTAAAGGATCACAAAACCCATACAACAGAGAAAATTTGAGCATTTTCAGCTCCAAATCCCTTTGGATTCTGCATCTGAAGGGTCAAAAACGCCCCAAAACCCCAAAAATGACAAATTTTCCCCCTTGGGGGGGGGGTTAAATCTATTGCTCTGAGGAGGAAAGCAGTGAGGCAGTGCAGAAATGCCTCTTTCCCCTCGTTTTGCCCCAAAAAAGCCCCGTTTTGGGGCTGCTGTTGATACCTGCGCTGTGTCAGGATGTGTTGGAGGATCCGTGTGAACCTATCCGAGGTCCCAGAGGAGCTGAAGGGTGAGAAAATGGGGTGAAAGATCAGGAAATAAGGCAAAAAATAAGAGAAAACGAGGGAAAAAAGGGTAAAAACAAACAAAATCCCAAATTTGTGGGTTTTTTCCCCCACCCAATGGCACCTGCTGATCTCCTCGGTGCCCATATGGAAGAGGAGGTCGGTGGAGGTGAGGCCCAGCACCACCCCGTTGATGTCCAGGGTGCAGGGATCCGGCATGAAGTGCACCCTCTGTGGGCGAGATGGGCTTATGGGGTGAAAGCTGCCCCCAAACCTGCTCCAACGTGACCCCAAATCCACCCAAAATCCACACGAAGTGACCCCAAGGCCCCCCAAAGTGGCCCCAACTCCACCCAAATCCACCCAAAGTGATCCCAAAAGACCCCAAATCCACCCAAAGTGACGCCAAATCCACCCAGTCGCCCCAAATCCACACAAAGTGGCCCCAAATGATCCCAAATTCACACAAAGTAGCCCCAAAAGGCCCCAAATCCACCCAAAATGACCCCCAAATCCACCCCAAGTGACCCCAAAGTGGCCCCAAAGGTCCCAAATCCAGCCCCAAAACCACCCAAAGTGACCCCAAATCTGCCACAAGGGACCCTGGGTAAGGAATGGTTGGACTGGGGGAAAAAAGGTTTTTTTTGGGGGAAAGTGGTACCGCCTTGTCCTCTTTGGGCAGATCAGGGCAGACGAAGGGGGGCTGTGGGTACACGAAGTCGTGGTGAGCGTCCCGCTGCGAGGGGACAAAGACCAGCTGGGTGCCAGCACTGCAGGTTTGGGGGAACAAAGGGCGATTTTGGGGAAAAAGAGGGGATTTGGGGGGGAGAAATGGAGGAAAATGGGATTAAGGAGGTGGGAAAGTGCAATAAATCGGCAGCAAACGGCACCAAAATGCCCCAAATCTGCCCCCAAGCGGCCCAAATCCAGCCCAAATTGCACCCAAAATGCACCCCAAATTGTCCCAAATCCACCCTGAACTCATCCCCAAGTACCCCAAACCCATCTAAATTGCACCAGAACTGCCCCAAATCCAGCCCCAAATTGCCCCAAAACTGCTCCAAATCCATCCCAAAACTGCCCCCAAATTGCCCCAAATCTGCCTCAAATCCACCCCAAATCCCCCAAATCTACCTTACATTGCACCAAAACTGCCCCAAATCTGCCCAAATCCACCCAAAATTGCACGAGAACTGCCCCATATCCAGCCCCAACTGCCCCCAAATTGCCCCAAATTTACCCTACATTGCACCAAAACTGCCCCAAATCCACCCCAAAAGGCCCTGAATTGCCCCCAAAATACCCCCAAAACACCCCAAATCCACCCCCAAAATCCCTCCTTTTTACGTTAAAAACCCAACCAAAACCCCCAAAAGCCCCTTTCTGGCCCCAAAATTGCTGATTTGGACCCAAAATGAGCCCACCTCCGCGTCCCCTCCAGCACCGTCCGCACGCACAGCCTGAACACCTCCGCAAAGGGCAGCAGCAGCTGGCAGCTCTGCACATTTGGGGCAAAAAAAGCAGATTTTGGGCAATTTGAGCTCTTTTGGGAACCTCCCCCGAGCCTTCACCTCAATTTCGGGTGAAAAAAAAGGGATTTTGGGGTCGTTTCAGTGCAAATTGGGGGTTGGGGCTCACCTCTACTTGCTCGTGTTTGGTGTCGAGGAACGGCCCAAACTGCAAAGAAATGGGAGAAAAAAGGGGGAAATTGGGAAAAAACCCCAATCCGAAATCCTACTGCCTCTTAAAATGGGGATGTGGGGTCATTTTAAGGAGAAAAATGGGTATGTTGGGAAAAAAAAACCCAAATTCTATCTTTTATTTCCCCTTAAAATGAGAAATTTTGGGTGGTTTTAAGATAAAATTGGGTATTTCACAAAAGAACCCCAAGTCCTACCTTTATTTCCCCTTAAAATTGGACTTTTGGGGTCATTTTAAGGAGAAATTCAACTACAGGATGAAAAAATTCCAAATCCTGTATCAGATTTCCCCTTAAACTGGGAAATTTTGGGGTCGTTTTAAGAGAAAATTGGGTGTATTGGGAAAAATCCCAAATCCTATCTCCTGTAACCCATTAAAATGGGACTTTTGGGGTCATTTTAAGGAGACAATTGGATACATTGGGAAAAAACCTCAAATCCCATTTCCTATTTCCCAATCCTATTTCCTCTTAAAACGAGAAATTTCAGCTCATTTTAAGCCAAAAATCGGGTCTATCAGCAACACC